TTATTATTTTTTTATTATTATTATTATTATTATTATATATATATATATGTATATATATATATATATACAATCGTCTTCATATAACACTACAAAATGAAGTGAGCAAAAAATAAATATAAAAAATTAAAATAATAGTATATAATAAAAATGACGTATTAGATAAATAAATATAATGTTTAGAAAAGGCCGTCCTCTGCAAGTCGAAAATGGCATCGCAAGCAGCCCACCCCCACCATATTACCTATAATTATCATTATAAAAAAGGCAATTCACACACGGCCGCGAGAGGGCCTGACTCGCATGATATGACGCATTTCCGGTAAAAACCGTTACAATTCTGTAATGCAAAATACGTTAGCTGCTCGTTCTTCCTCTATATTCTTTGGGAATATTCTGCCTCCTTCCATTAAAAACTACCACTCTTGTCAGACAGTTTAAGGCAAGCCTTATAAAACCTGTCTGTTCAACTGAGAAGTGTGTTGGACTGGTTTGGTAGTTTTTGCACTCATTAATTTTAATACTTTTATCCTTTATTACAATAGAGGGATTAGGCGATGGGATGTAAACCAATACGCATTTTATGCTTTTTCAACGAATCGGTAGACATCTTGAAGTGATTGCAAACAACCCAAGTCAGTGATGCGTAACCGACAGATATAAGATAAGCTTTGAGGCTAATGGCAAATAGGAAAAATTATTAGATTATCACTCTCCCGCCAGCGTCAAAAATTCGGGAAATATTGATGCGGGAATAAAAAAAAAAATTTTTTTGCCGCATCAATTATTTCCACAGCATAAAATAACAATGGCATAAAATTATTTCCACAGCATAAAATAACAGGCCCCCTGGCCATGGCCCGGTTCCGCCGGCCAATGTAGGCCTATAACACATTACAAAAACAAAATATGTAATTGCACAGACATAGTATAGTTGAGCAGCAAAGCGAAACCACTGCAGTTGTTATGGCCAACTCCCTGATCAGTCTAGATCAGCCCGAGTATCAGTATCAGTAGTCGGTAGTAAACTAATGCCTCTCGCACGCATGCCTCCCGGACAGACCGGACGAACGTGAATTTCGCCTCCAGCGAGGACAGGACCGGACAGGATTGGGTACCTGTCCAGAACCATTTTCAATGTGTGGTAAAAAAAAAAATAAATAAAACCACAGAAAGGTAGCTGCAGTGTGCGCATAGCGTACAATTTATTTGATACTCAATCAATGGACGAATTCATTTTTTATTATGTGATCCACGGTTATTGACGGCTGGTTTAATTCAGATTAAAGTTTTTTTTTTTCCTTCTGAGGTCAAAATTATGCTAAATTATGCTAAATTTTTCTAAAATTATGCCAGCACATATGCTAGATGCTAAATGGGTCTAAATTAAGCCAAAAAGCATAATTATGCTAGGTCTGGTCACTGGGTATGCTCTGACTTCCATTGACTCACTGAATACGTGATTGGTTGATATTTAAAACCAGCCATGCGGAAATTCTAAGCAGCTGAGAGTATCCTTCCAGTTGGTCGAAATCCAATTTGTCGAAACCCGGTTTGCCGAATTTAACCCACTTTGCCGAAAACCCAGTTTGCCGAATCCAGTTCACTGAAAACATGAAATCCTAGTTGGCCGAAACCCGGTTTGCCGAACCCAGTTTGCCGAATTTGAATTTTTTCGTCACCGTCGTACAAAAAGCGCAGCACGCTACTATTTTGAGATAAAATGTAATAAACAGCAATTATGTAGGCGAAATCGAAACTAAAGACTTAACTATTTTGAACTAAATGCAATAACGGTAATTATTGTAGGCGAAACCGAAACTCAGACTTAACAACCACAAACAAATTAGTTAAGACCATCAAAAGGGCTTTGCTCACCATTTTAATTTACTGAGCCATACTATCAGTGACGTAGGCTTTATAATCTTAGGCACCAATTTGAGGCATCTACTGATTGATGACCTGATGAAGGGCGATGATGGGTTGGTGTCCCAATATCTGCAGACGGATCCGTTTCGGCCTTCCAGGCCTCATCAGTGCAGCTAGGGTATAGACCCAAACGAAACGTTCGACCAGCTTAGGTAGGGCCCAAACTAGTCCCACGACCACTAATGATTACAGAGCCAAACCAAGGCAATATATATATACATAGCCCAGGTGTGAATGCAAATAGTGGAATACAAGCTATGTGGCTCGGTTCCAGTAGATACAGAGAATATTTTGTCATTCTCAACGGATTTTCTCTACTGTTCCGTATTAATTTTAAATAGTTTTGCATTATGTGGCCGTTTGCTGATTTATGGGTT